GGGGCAGTGCGGGCCCTCCGGCAGCGGTGGTGGGGGTGAGGTGTTCTCCCCGGCCTCAGCGCCCCGGGACTTCAGGGAGAGGGAGCCGCTGCCCGAGGTAGGCCCGAGGTCCCCTCTCCCCCGGCTCAGAGGGCTGCAGCCCGGGGCAGCCCTCCCGTTCCCCGCCCCTGCCCTTCCTCGGCCGTTAGCCCTTCTGGAGGGCTCGGCTGCGGGCTCTTCCCCGCCTCCGTGTGTGTCCCCCGCCGCGTCCCGCTCCCGGTGGTCTCCCGGGGAAACGGAACCCTTGGGCAGGCTCTGGAGAGGTTCGGTTGGGCAAATGGAACATCCCAGTGCAGGTGCCTTATGAGTATGCGTTATTTTCGGTTAAAACCTTGTGTCTTCCTTTTGTAGCAATGCGTATAAGGGGCGTGCTGTAATGTAGTCATCTGACAAATTGCTCCTCCATTCCCCAAAGGAACTGCCTTCAGGATCTGACTAACTCTGGATGCACCCGCTTGTCATCTTAATTTCTCCTTTAGGTTGTTTAAAGCAACCCAATTGGGTGACGTTTGTTTTTGTTTCTTAAGAATTGGATCTAAGAGGTTTCTGTTTTCTTACATTGATGTTTATAATGAGAGTGCAAAAGTGATTTTTACCATTGCAGGATCAGTATGTGGAGCCTACAGATTGTTCCCAGAAGTGGTGCTTTGGGGTGCATGCTGCACTCGGAGATTGAGCTCTGGGCCATACTTTGAAAATAAGACACTGTGTTATTTGATTGTAAAAAAGGAGATCTCCTGGGGATAGAGGATTTTGAAACGATATCAGAACCACTACTGTGGCACGTGGTTGAATTGGACACACATTAAACTGATCAGGCTGAACAGATAGGCTGAATTTGTTGCTGGATGGCCAGGATTTTCAGGAGGAAAGCTAGTCTAGAGAAAACTTCCTCTTGCTGTTGCTTCTCATCTAAAATGGCACCCTTCCAAATGGCTGCTTCCGGGGGAAATTGGCTCTTTTTGAGATTTAATAAAACATTTCAGTGAGGAAGGCGAATCGTCACAGTAAATTGCTGCCAGGCCCCGACATTGATTTCAGAAATAGAAAAAGAATGAGTGTCTTTTCCGTAAGTGTGCCTGTCTCACCCAAGAGTAGACGTAGCAGCTTTAGCAGTCCCCTTAGTTTGGAATTGATTCCCTCAATGGGACATTGAGGAGGAAAAGATGGTGGACAGAGAGAACAGTAGAGGAGAGCCACCCACTAAAAGTATGGAAGAGAAGGGGTTATGCATTAAGGGAGAGCCACTACATAAAAAAATTGGTGCTATCTAAAAATTTGTTAAGGGTTTGGGACCTGCAGATACTGCTACACCTGTGTGTGCTGCAGTCATGCCTGCTGTCACTGAGCAAGATGGAGAGAGCTGCTTTATTGAACGCAGCATGTTAAAGCAGGCACTGTTGTCTGAAGAAGAGCAAAGACTTTCCTTGGGTGGAACTTCGGATCCATGGTTCACCAGGTGTGCCATACCCAGCATATGGTTTAAAAAAAAAAAAAAATCAACCATGGCAAGCCAGGTACTCATCTGGGGACACTGACTCTTTGGTGACATCTCCAAGCAGAGCATTGTGTACATTGGGCTGTGGCTAACAGCCAGCTGTGTCAGCTGTAAGCGCTGTAGGGAGGGTGTAGATGCCTGAACGTGTGTCTCTCAGCCATGTCCCCAGACAGCAGTTTGAGCAGCGGGAGTTTGACGTACGTTCTCAGCTCTTACGTTGGCAGTGACAGTGTGGCAGAGCCAGCGGGTTGGTTTTTCGGCTGGAAGAGGAAGAGCAGACTGCAAATGTGCCTGGGTAAAGAACCGTCAAAGAGATTTGCCATAGATGTGGGTTGTACCAGTGTAGCTGTTGCAGCTGCAGCAATAGCGGATCCTGGAGCATCTGGAGAAGATAGGAGTTTTCTTCATGGAAGCAATACTGTCAAAAGCCTTTTGATGCCAGAAATTAGGACAAACACATCTGTTGTCTGGAACTTCTCAGCTGACCCTTGGTATACCTGGCACACTCCTTGCAATGTTTAAAAAGTGTGTTGGGCAGGGCAGGGACTCACCTTGGCAGTTCATGTTGCAGCAACACTTGCAGACCACGCATCCTGCACGCTGGGCCAGGACCTGAATCTGATGGTGCTGTTGGTAGCCTGAAGCTTGGGAAGCACTTCTGGATGTTTCTACTGTTCCACATGAATTTTTTCCCCCATGAAGGTCCTGTATTGAGCTATTTCTTTTCAACAGATAGGCTTAGAGCCAGTTGTGGTTTAACTTCTTCAGGCTTGGGTGTTCCTATTCCATTTTGCCTACTGAGCAGGTGCTTGGTTGGAGAAGGGACATAAATCTTAACCATGGGACTCGGACTCTCAACTGCGTACTGCGGTGAAGAAACTCAGATACGAGAATGAACTTAAATATTGATTACTGAAGACACTTTTTTTCAATGCCAGCTTATTAGAAGTTCATACAGATTGTGGCACCAGACAGTTCCCATCTATAACACGTGACTATACAGCATTGTAAAAGAAAAATTTTTCATAGCTTTGGAGAAAGCACAACACAAAAATACACATTTAACTGTTGATATGTGGACTCTGAATGACTCTGAATGACTCTGAATGCACTTGGCAGTGGTGGCCCAAGGATATCTTTGGATACGCTGCACCAGCCCAAGACCCCTTTTAGAAAACAGGCAGCTCCCTCCCACTGGCTTTGCTAAAACTTCTGTAGTAGGAAGTGTCCTACAAGAACCAAATTACCAAATTGATGTGTGGCTTTCCCTTAATTGCCTCACCCCTGGCTTTCCAGCTTCTGACAGCACTGCTGACGCTGTGTGTGCAGTGCTAGGTGCCAGCTGCCATGTTTTACTTATATTTTAAAATCAGTGATTCAGGACTTTGAGCATAGGAGCGATGTGAACAGGTTAGCAGATGCTTAAGAGATTTGCTTGCTCATTCTGCTGAGGCCCATCAAATTCTTCAGGAACTCCAGCATTCAAACCATCTTCCACAGGATCACTTGAAGCAGGAAATAGCTGCTCAGTGAACCCCTCTCCACCTTTTATATGTTAAAGTGAGTTTAAAACAGCAGAAGGTCGAGCAGCGTCTGCCTGGGAGGGAGAATGGGACTATTCTCAGCTCATTCCAGTGGCCCCAGATGCCTGATAGGTGCAAGATTCTTGGCCTGCAGGTAGAGGCCAGTGGGGAACTGCAGTTCTTAGTCAAGTTCTGCCATCGGTCACATCCTTCTGGCTTTCCAGAGCACGGGGAAAGACTTTCAAATCAAAGGTGTCACTGTCACTCCTGAACTGCAAGATGGGTGAAATATCTTAGGCTTGAAACTGATTTTCTGTAGAGTGGTGCGCTCAAATCTGAATGCTTTGTCTTGGCCACTTTACTAGATCCCTGTTTTAAAGGTTGCTTTGAAGAATTCCTTCTCCTGCATCTTGATGGGTCAAGCTAAAGACAGATCTGTACTGAAGCAGTGTCTGATCTGATGAGTGCTTCAGTACAGGGTTATTCTTTGACAGTTACAGAAACACCAGGCCTATCAGCCCGTTCAGGAACAGATTGATTTGCCTCGCATCTTAAGGAAGAACGTCTTAATTCAGGTCCCTGAAGTGGCACATCTTCAAACAGAGTTGCTCCAGCCAGCAAGGGGCAGCTGTGCCTCGTGGCTGTGGTAACTCGTGGCTCTGACTCTCATAGATCACGATGAAAGGTGACTCTTGACTCGCTGGTGGAGGAAGCTGAGACGATCATCTGCTTTAACCTTTGCTCCTGGGCTGGCAACCTTGCAGTCTTTATTCTGAGTCGGTCTTGAGCGCTGTAACGCCCAGTCTCAGCACATATCCCCAGTCCAGGTTTAGACAGCATGTAACAGCTAGAATTGACTAAAAGAAATGTAAAGACTAGAAATTATAACTATTCTGCTTCAGCTTGGGACCGCTTAGCTTTAGGTTTTCATAGAGGGAATGAGACGTGTTAGCAAGAGGTTCTAATGTGCTTCAGACGACGCGAAGATGTGTGGTTTACGTATGCATCATAACGCGGTGTTCCATATGTAAATTGTGACGCCTAGCGCACGCCGCACACCCAGCCTGTGCGGTGCGGTAACAAGCAGGTAAATCAGCAGCGGCTGCTTTGCAGCTGGGGTAATGCTGACGGGCTGACAAGGGGGATTAGAACATGGAGTGCCTGCTGCTCTTCTTTCCTTGTCATCCTACTGGTATTTAGGGGTGTTTAAGCATCTTTAATATTTTTGTAAGAAATTAAAGGCATAAAGCAGAGCAGCAAGAGAGACTGTCCAAGTGAAATACTTTGTGCTTTATAACCAAAAAGGAGCCATAGGTAGGTGCGATAATACTTCTCTCATGCATTTGTTGGGGTGCAAAAAACTTTTGTTCCCTTCTTGCTCTTCGGTACAGGGCAAAGGCAGGTCAGCAAGCTGGAAAGTTAGGCCAGGGAATAGGGCTGTTTCTTCAGGATCAGGAAAGACAAGCTTGTAAAACAAACTAGACAGACTTTCATTGTGCTGTTTGTCTTCCCTTAGCAAAGATAAAGTTTATGGCACTTGGCATGTTTTTCCTGACCCCTAGCTACTGCATCTGTAATTTTTTTTAATATTATTATTATTTTTTTACAAAATGAATTCAAAATCTCTTAAAAACTTTACTAGAGTTCTGGAGAAAAAAAAAAGAAGTGTTTAAAATTCTTATCAACTTCCATCAGAGACCTGCTGAGTGCACCAGAGTTACTCATTTTTATTCAGGCTTTCAGGGGTTAGTTCCGTTGATTTCTGTTTAGCACTC